AAATTAAAGGGTTAAGACTGAGAAATGGCCCAGGCTTGGTGGTGTGCACCTTTAATCCGAGCATGGATCCCAAGCACATCTCTGTGAGTATTGGGATAGCCTGGTCTACATAGTGAGTTCCTGGCTAGCTTGAGCTACACAGTGAAACTTTCTCATGAGAGGGGAGGAGAAGATAGAGTGAGGGACAGAGAGAGAGAGGAAGGGAGGGAGGGAGAGATTGACAGGTGAGGACTTTATTTTGATTTGGGTCTTTAAATTGAACAGTCATGGCATTATTCTGCTGCTTGGTTCCTTCATAAAGCAAATTAAACAGAGCCAACCCTTGTCTTCAAAGCCTCCTACACAATTGAGTGCTTAGTGGGCATTACTAAAGGAGTTAAAGTTTTTTAAGTAAAACAAGGAAGTAATTTGTATGCCACCAGGCAAGTTTAGTTTGGCATGAGCCTTCTGAAAACAAACTTGATAAAGAACAGAAGGGACAGGATGCATTTCTGCAGGGTGACAGAATGAAGGATGCATGAAGTTGAGGTCAGGACTAGTAGCCCAAACACATTTCTTTTATCTTTTTTTTAAAAAAGCAGTTTTAACATTAATGTTAAGATTCTCATGATTCAAATTGCTTTCAAGTAGAGTGTCTGGTGTTTATTTCTATTAAGTATGTCACCCTGGGACAAGTATTTCCCTAGTGGTTAGCTGGAGCAAAGCTTTCAGAACATGGAATGAAGTTTTCCATGAACCTAAATGTGCAGTAACTTTAAAACCTTTTATTTATCATCGTCGTCATCGTTGTTGTTGTTTGTATTATTATTATTGTGTGTATGTGTGTGGGGGAGGCTCAGAGGGCAGTTTTGTGGAGTTGATTCTCCCAGTCAACATCTATGTGGGTTACAGGGATTGAACTCAGAGTCTTCAGGGTTTGCATAGCCAGGCTGCAAATCGCCCTCATCTGCTGAGTCATCTGACCGGCCCCAGGAAGAGCTTTTAACTTGCTAAAAATTCAGAAGAAACTGTTCTGGCTTTTGAGATTCAGATCTTTGGAAACTATTTTGAAGCTCTGGATGGTTGGTGGGAACCTTTAGTTGCTCAGTATTCAGAGAGGCTCCTCAAGGAAAGAAGGTAGCAATCTGGGTCAGATCAGCTGGCTTATTCTCCTGGTGTGTGTGGCTGCTGATGCCAGCGGATATGAAGATGTGTCATCCTCATCAGTGTCCAGGAAACCATGGCAACATGGAGGGGAGCAGTGTCTGGGATTAATAGTAAGATCTGTCACAGCACCGCTCATGCTGGAGCACTGTTTAAAAAAAAAATTAGAGTTACTATTTTATGAGTATGAGCGTTTTGTCTACATGCATGTGTGTACACTGTGTGTGCGCGCGCCTGGTGTTTGAGGATCAGAAGAGGGTGCTGGCTCCCCTGGGGCTGAAGTTATAGGAGGTTGTGAGCAGCTATGTTGGAGCTGGGATTGCACCTGAGTTTTCTGCAAGATCACCAAGTGCTGTTGACCATTGAGCCCGGTCTCCAGCCTTAAACATTTTCTCGTAAGATGCATGCATAATTCAGAGAGCAGCAGCAAACGTTTACTAAGACTTTGAAGCTTACCTTACATAAGGAGTACTCAGGAAGGCCCCTGTGCTTTTATACCATCCCTGAAACCATTCTCTTGCAGCTTGTTTTGAACCCTCTCATGGATCCATCCACTGCATTCTGTCTCCGCCCCCTTTTTGTCTTCTTGTCTTACACTGGGTTTCTTCAGGGTATGTGCTTTGGAATTCTTAGGTTGTAGGGCTGTAGTGTGTACATTGCGTTGCTTCTGTTTTAGTAGATCATGCCACGTTGTCTTCCACGGTTATCACCATTCTTACTTTGACTAGTCGTGTGTGTGTATTCACACTGTTTACTTACTAGTTCACATTCACATCTAGTCTCCAGGGTAGATCAGATTATTGAATGTCTTAGAAACTTCTGATTTACGTGTGCCCACGCCCCTCACACACACTGCAGTGTTTCACTACCTAGCTCTGGCTGTCCTGGAACTTTACTTAAGTTCCAGCCTCCAGCCTAGTGTAAACCAGCCTAGAACTTACTGTGTAGACCAGCCTCCAGAGTTCTGGGATTAAAGGTGTTTGCAGCCACACCCAGCTTTCTCTCTGTATCTGGGCATGGTTGAGCAGGCCCATGATTCCTACTACTCTGAAGAGAGTTGAGGCAGGAGGATTACAAATTCAAGGTCTGCCTGGGCAACTTAGTGAGACTCTGCCTCAAAATAAAACGTGAAAACAGCTGGGGTGATGTCTCAGGTTGAATGCTTACACAGCCTATATAAAGTGCCACAGAAAATAAAAAGCTCTCAAATGACTTCTAGTACTCGAAATCATATAAATGGCACATGTCTTGGTTGCTGTTCTGTTGCTGTGAAGACACACCATGAGAAGAATGGATGTCGCCCTTGCTCAGTTTCAGAGGGTTAGTCCGTTATTGTCAGGACAGGGGGCATGGACACCACGGGCAGTGGCTTCTATTCAGTACAGCTTTTCCCTCTTTCAGACAGGATCCCATGCATTCCAGGCCGGCTTGGACACTGTATGTCTGTGGATGAGTTTGGACTTTTGATTTTCGGGCGTCTACCTCTTTAGTGCTAGGATTGCATCATGTGTCTAATTTCTAGTCTATCTAGTCTGGCTTCTGTGGTGCTGGGTCTTAAACCTAGGCCATAGCACGTGTTTAGGCAAGAACTGTACCCGTGAGCTACATCACCAGCCCCTAGACACACACCCCCATATGTTTTCCATCTGTGGCTGGCTGAATTTGGGCTGGGGAACAACCTGGTACATGGAGGTCCAGCCGTAGTATTTAATCCAGTCACTGGACTCCTGGTGCGTCTCTGTAGGGAGTCAGTACCATAATCCCCTGGGGGAGTTAAGAACACAGGACCCATACATGCATAGATGTTCTGAATTGGGAGGCCTGGTGTCTTTGAGGCAACTCTGTAAGAAGGTTCTGCATCAGGAGTTACCGGGTTTCCCTAGTACTAAAGAGGGGACGATAAGACAGATAAGCCAGCCCCAGTCCCTGCTTGTCCTACAGACCCTTACCTGTTTCTCCTCTTGTTATTCCCTGTACTCAGAGGACACCTTGAAGAATGACGGTGTCATGAAGTCAACAGTACAGTGAGCAGTGCAGTAGGGCAGGGGGCCATGTTTCTTGTACCAAATCAGTGCCAGACTCTTGACCTTGATTCTCCAGGAAATGTAAATCAGCCTGGCCTGGGTGTCCCTGAGAAACTTGGGAGGCCTCTCGGCCCTTTGTGATAGGCTTGGCTATGACTTACTGTACAGTTAGCTGCTGCCTGGCCAGGAATATATGGCCTTGTGGCTCAGTGCCAGTTGGTGACTTGCTACAGTAGCTATCTGTGTTTTGTCTTCTGGGACTCTAGTCACTATCCAGCTAGTCAGAGACCTTAGGGGACATCAGACCACAGCAGACTTGAGGAGCATGGGAGGGCATTACCAGCTTTGCTTTGGTTGGATTATAAAATGGAGGACTGGGTATTTATCATCATTATTTTGATTTACTCCCTAAATCTAAGGAGACTGTACATACATACATATAAACATACACATACATACACACACATATACACATACATACATACACACATATACACATACACACACACATACACACACACACACACACACACACACACACACACACACACACACACACACACATATATATATATATATATATATATATATATATATATATATATATTCTGGCTGTCCTGGTCTCAAACTCCCTGAGATCCTCCCAAGTGCTGGGATTTAAAGTTGTGTGCCACCAATGCTGAGATAAGGAATATATTCTTAGTCAATGTAATGATTTTTTCTTTAGTATGTGAGAATGATAGATGACTCTAACCTAGTTTTATTTGTGGACTGAGTGCCCTGTGCTGTATTCAGGACACCTTCATGTTTTAATGAAAAATGTGTAATAACCTATAAAGTAAAGGAGTATGGCTTGTTATTTACACAGTATAATGGTATATACTTTATTGTATCTTTTATATTGGCATGTATAAGCGGCTGAGACTGTTTTGGTGCTGGAACTCAGAAACAAGCACAATTTAATTCTGAGTCCTCACCATAGTGATAGGAGCCATCATTTCTCCTCCTCTGCCTTTTGGTTTTGTTAGAAAGAAGGTCTCACGGGGTGTTGGTGGCCCACGCCTTTAAACCCAGCACTTGGGAGGCAGAGGCAGGAGGATCTCTGTGAGTATGAGGCCAGTCTGGTCTACAGACTGAATTCCAGGACAGACTCCATAGCAATACAAAAAACCAAAACAAGAAAAGAAAAAGAAAAAGAAAAAAGAAAGAAAGAAAGAAGAAAGAAAAGAAAGAAAGAAAGAAAGAAGAAAAGAAAGAAAGAAAGAAAGAAAGAAAGAAAAGAAAGAGGGTCTCAGTCTGTGGCCTAGGCTGGTCTCTGTCTTTCGACAATCCTTTCCTTCGTCCGTTTAGTGCTACCACAGGCATGTGCCACTATGTATGGCCAGCAGATGCCATCACTTCAGATCTTAAATGTATCCACTATAGGGCTTCAGAGGCAGTCAAAGACCTCATATGGGCCTCAGTTGCATGAAATACTCAAAAATAAAGACACTTTTATGCAAGATAGACTATAAAATGGTTATACATTTTGTTTTGTTGTTTTTGAGACAGGTTCTCACTGTGTACTCCTGGCTGGTTTGGAACTCACTATGTAGAGCAGGCTAGCTTCAAACTCATAGATCTACTTGCCTCCCCCTGCTGAATGCTAGTATTAAAGGTGTGCACCACCATACCTGACTTGGCGCACCGTACTTTTATTAAAAAAAAAAAAAAAAACACACACACACACACACACACTTGTATGCCACAAAACTAATCTGTGTCCAACTCATAGAATAGAGTATGGCTCCTATATTTTAATCTAAGTTTTACATTTTATTTTTTCCTTTGCAGGTTGAATCCCTCTCTGGAACTTGTAAATGTTTTTTGCCAGAGAAAACATTTTCTGCGCAGTAAAGTCAACGGCTTAACTTGGGCAAGGGCTGGTGTGGCTTTGCTTCTGCTATGCTCGAGGAAGCTTGAGTCCGAAGGGTACAGCGCTTTTTGTGATGACAATATGACTCACAGTAAAGGAAGATCTGTCACTTGCAAGACAAGTAGCAGCCCAGATAGTGGAGGAGGCTTTGTAGATTGGACTTTAAACTTAAACACAATTCAGTCTGACAAGTTTTTGAACTTACTTTTAAGTATGGTGCCAGTCATTTACCAGAAGAACCAGGACGACAGGCATAAGAAAGCCAACGGCATTTGGCAGGACGGATTGCCAGGTGCAGCGCAGACCTTCAGCAAGCGGTCAGAGCCACATCTGGACTACCACGAGTTCTCAGAGCAGGCCTTCCACGGCAGCAGTGGGCATGCTCCAGCCAGCTGCAGCCCCAAGTATGACGACTATGCCGGCTACAACTACTGTGATGGAAGGGAGGCTTCAGAGACCACCGCCATGTTACAGGACGAAGATCTGTCCAGCGAGGGTGGTGATGTTATTGTGGAAACAAGCCACAGGCTACCCAAGGAGTCCAGTGGCATCATGGCTCTGCAGATACTCGTGCCGTTCCTGCTGGCTGGGTTTGGAACGGTCTCCGCCGGCATGGTTTTGGACATAGTACAGGTGAGCTTTCACCTTTAGTTTCAGTGTACTCGTGTGTGTGTGTGTGTGTGTGTGTGTGTGTGTGTGTGTGTGTGTTTTCCATTACCCTGATGCTAAGAGACTTGCTTCAGCTCAGAGTTTAAAGGGGGCTCTACTTGAAGTGATGTAAGTCACGGGTTCTAACGCTCTGATTACACACCATGGCCAAAAGTAAGTTAGAGAGGAAAGGATTTATTTGGATTATACTTTCACACTGCTCATCATCAAAGGAACCTTGGATGTCTTCCTTACTTGCTTTCCGCCTTGTTTCATGAGGCAGGGTCTCTCTCTCATTTCTACCTGGAAGTTACTGACTCAGTTGGCAGCCGTTGAAACTGTACGGGTCCAACCTGTCTCTGTCTCCTCAGCACTGGGATTATGAGTGTGCCATTGTGCTTGTCTTTCTGGGCTTTTTAATTAATTAGTTAGTAATCAACCAATCAACCAATTTGGAACAAGAATTTCCACATCATCATCATGGCTATCCTGGAACTCACTATGTAGACCAGGCTGGCCTTGAACCCATGGAGATCCAACTGCTTCCCAAGTGCTGGGAGTAGAGGAGTGTTCTGAGGAATGAATCTAGGTCCTTATGCTTTACTCACTCCTACTCCTCCCTCTCTTTCCCTCCCCTCCCCTCCACTCCCTTCTTCCTCTTTTCCTCTCCCCCTTCATTGCCCCTATCTTTCAGTAGGGTCTCACTGTCTAGCTTTGGCTGGCTTTGAACTTGCAGCCTGCCCTGCCTTAGCCCTACCCCCATCCCCCCCATCCCCACCCCAAGTGCTAGGATTACAGGTGTGTGCCCACATCTGGTTTGGCTTCACTTTTTTTTTTTTTTTTTTAAATTCAAATGCTTGACGAGGATATATATCTCAAGTACGTATCTTTGCAGCGCTGAGTCTGGAACATCGTGTGTGGCAGGAGCCTGAGCCGTATCCCCGCATTCAAGCATTATCTTAGATTTAATTTCTCCCTTTGTGCAGTGAATGCCTTGAGAAACTCTGTTACCTCTGTCAACTTCTCTTCTAGAAAATTGTCTCCCCCCCCCCCCCGCATGCTGTGGATAGAACCCACATGCCAAATAAAGTGACTTTTTATTACAAACCCAAAAATAAGCCAAGTAAAAGAAAAGCCCAGTAAGCAAGCAATATGTTGAAATGTTTTATTTTAAAATAAGAAAAATTACACAGGCTCATTAAAATGAATTCAAACAATGTAGTGCTAAAATAAGGGTGATTTCTAGTCCTCAACCCTATACCAAACTGCTCCTCTAAGTGCTCTTCACCCTCCCCCTTCACCTCTCCACCTCCCAGACCTCTGCTCCTGCCTCCATGCGTGTGGTGGAGGTCGAGATAGTGTCCACAACCTCTTATATACCGGGGGGAGGGGGCCTCAGTCCCTGAGCTATGCCCCAGCCGGCTGCGGGGGGGGGGGGGTAAACATTTTATGTCTGTGTGTATTGTGTGTGTGTTCATGTGTTGCTGATGTGGAGGTCAGAGGGCTGCTGACGGGGGTCGATTTCCCCTTCTCCATGGGTTCTGGGGGAGGCGGACCCGCAGGATATCTGACCATCTTCAGGCCCAGTTACTTCATGTAGCGCAATCCCCAGAGCGCAATCCCCAGAGCGGCTTTATAGGAAATAAGGGTCTTGTTTTCCTACTGATCTGATGGATTTTAGTTCTGTTTTTCCCACCTGTTTTGTTATCAGTGACAAAGACCTGTTCTTTCTGGTATGAGCTGACATGCCAGCTCATAAAGCCTCCTCCTGGAATAATCCTATTTAAATTGCATTTGTAAAACACCTCTTTGTGTTATTAGGTATTTCTGTGATCTTTTCACGTTAGAAAGCAATTTTGTATCTGTTAACTTTATGGTGTTTTTTCTGAGGGTCAGTTTTTGCCGTCTTCATTTCATAGATGGAGATGGTGGCATCTGAGAGGTAGTCTGACGCTCCAGGATCTCAGAATCAGCGGTGACAGGTCCATCCCTAGAGGCAGGAGTTTTATTTCACCGGGGTGTGGTGGTACATGCTGGTAATCCAAGCACCAGGGGGAAGCGAGTCAGGAGCATCACAAATTTGAGACCAGCCCGTCCCATTCCACAGCGAGTGCAGGGCAGCCAGAGCTAGAAGAATCATTTCCAATTTGGTGGTGGTTTTGTGACTCTGTTATGCCGCTTAGCTTATTACTCTAAAATGAGGACCAGAACATAGGAGTACTAGGTGCTTCAGATGCTAACTCTCAATGTGTTTTCTTTTTTCCTTCCTTCCTTCCTTCCTTCCTTCCTTCCTTCCTTCCTTCTTTCCTTCCTTCCTTCCTACCTTGGGAATATCTGTGTACCTCTTGGAATTCGTATCTCCTTATCTGTAAACTTAATAACAGCAATGTAACTTTCTTGTGAGATTGTTCTAAGTAGTGCTAGAACTCAAGACTCAATTCCAGATGACCCACTCCCATAGCATGAGCTCTTAACCATTAGACATGAGATGATAAAGTAACTGGGAATGCCTGGTATCTAGCATTTGGGATGCAGAGCCGTGTGGATCACAAGCTTAAGGCTGGCCTAGGCTACAACAATGAGTTAATAGCCAGCCTGAGCTGTCCTAAAAACTCAAGCCACACAGCAAGTGGCTCAGTGGTGGAGTGCTTGCCTAGGATGTGATAGGTAGGCTGTGGGCTCCTCGATCGTGCCAATCAAAGACAAAAGAGTATGACACAGTAAACCTTAGGAGCCCCTGGGTTAGTTGTTAGTGTTAGTGGGATGCAGTGATGTCAGATGTTGAGAATCTTCTGAAGTCTCTCAAATCATGACCTCGGGAGGGTACATGTCCACTGACTAGATAACCTGTACTGTCCTTAAAACGTGGAAGCAAACCCAGGCATACCTTAACCCTTGCACTCAGGAGTCTGAGCCAGCCTGGTCTACATACTGAGTTTCAGTCCAACCAGGGCCACATGGCGAGACCCTGTCTGAGACAACAACAAAAAGGAAAAGAGATTTGGAAATCGGAATGTCCCTGTTCTGAACAGCTGCTGTTTCTTTTTGCCTTTCAGCACTGGGAGGTGTTCAAGAATGTGACAGAAGTTTTCATTTTAGTCCCTGCACTTCTTGGTCTGAAAGGGAACTTGGAAATGACGCTGGCGTCTCGGCTATCCACTGCAGTAAGTTTCCCTACTCCCTCTTGTGTGTGTTACTTAGTCCTCTCTACTCGGAAGAGCCTGTGTGATGCATGGGTTCTTTCCTCTTTCTGGTAAGTTTCCGGACCTGAGTTATGCTGAACACTTTTGGCACACGCCCTGACAGTTTTGGGGGTTCTCTCATCTGGGGATACAGACCTGCTTTCCCATATCACCTGAAGCAGCAGCACGCTTGCCCCCTTCGATGCCAGGCCACATTAGCAGTCATTAGGGTGAAATGCGTGGAGGAGGCAAATCTGTGAGTACACAAGTCTGTGGTTGGTAGAGTTGCGAGCAGAGCTGCAATCCTATGCATTTGCTTCTGTAGTCTGACCAATTGGAACATATACTGCTGACCCTTTTATACCAGTTAGTTCATATTATATACTTTACTGGCTATATGTTTTTTCTTTTTCAGATAGGGTCTCAGATTTGCTGTGTAGACCTGGCTGGCCCTGAACTCACTGAGGTCCTCCTGTCTCTGCCTCCTAAATCCTGGGATTAAAGGCGTGCACCAACACACACATGGTTATATCCTTTTATGTTATATAACCCACGGTTTAATTTATCATTTGTTATTGGATATATAAACACTTTCTAATGGTCTCATTATAAAGAATATGACAGGAGTTGGAGAAATGGCTCAGACAGAGCATTTACTTACAAGGAACTAGATTTTGGTTCCCACCATATGGCAGGGCACAACTGCCCATAACTCCAGCTCCAGGAGATCTGATGCCCTCTTCTGGCCTTCAGGCATCAATCATGTGGTATACATACATGAGGCAGACACTCACAAATAAATAAGTAATGCTGAATATTCTTTTTTTAATTTATTTATTTATTTGAGCTAGGGGTTATCTCTGTAGCCATGGCTGGCCTGGAACTCATTATGTTGTCCAAACTGGTCTTAAATTCAGAGATCTTTCTGCCTCTGCCTCTGCCTCCCAAGTGCTGGGATGCACCATCATACCTGGGCATGACAAATGATACAAGTGGATGACAGTGCAGGCGTAAAACTGACGTAAATCTGAAGAAAAACGAGGGAGGGATTCACTTAATGCACAGCTTTACTGCCTATTTGCCAAGCATGACAGAATGGCCTGGAAAAATACCAAAACCACGTGTCTTCATTGCCCTTAACAGCCTGCTGACTGTCATGCATGCTTCTGTAAAATCTTGCTTGCCTGCTCCACCTTGTGGTCTTAGTGTGTAAAAGGAGAATGCAAAGGACCTGGGGTTGAAGCCTTTCAAGGAGCCGTCCTGGCAGCAGTCACCGGGACATCTCTCTTCCACTCTCATGGATGCTCTGGAGTGCTTATTAATCCGAAGATTCTCATAACAAACAGGTCATTTCAGACATCAGTAGGGGAGTGAAGAAAATACAGGCAGCCATGTGGCGAAGGGTAACTCAGGAGGGCAGCTTCAGGCCCCTTCTATAGAGACCACTGATGTGTACACAGAGACCACCCTTCTGAGAAGGTGATGTATACGCTGGAACCTGAACGGGGCAATGAGCCGGCCGTGCAGGACCCCAGAAGAGAAGACCATTGTGCAAACCTCATTTAATTGGTGTGACCATGTCAGCGGTTTTTGAATTTTAAAAAATTATGTATGAATATTTTACTTGACTGTATACTTGTGCACTGTGTGTGCCTAGTGCCCCCCAGAGGCCGGAAGAGGGCGTCAGATTCCCTGGAACTGCAGTTATAGATGGTTGTTAGCAGCCAAAAGGGTTGCATCTCCTCCACTCCCGTCCTTGGTTTCTATTCAGCACTTGGACAACCTGAAGTCATAGCATCCAGGAGGCTAAGGCATGGGGTTTGTCGTGAGTTTGAGGCCGGTCAGGGTTACACAGAGACACCTTCTCTCAAAGCAAAAATGCCAGTAAGAGGCTAGACACATGGCTCAGGAGTGAAGAGTACCCTACAGAGGACCTGCTTTTGTTTCCCGGCACTAACATGGGGGTTCACAGCCTGTTATTTTCACTAGGCCTAAAAGCATGGTCGTGGGACATCCAAACTTAGATGGTTAATTAGGTTTCCTAGGTTAGAGATGTCATAGAGTACACAGTTTTTCAAGGCGGGATTGTTTAGCGCACCTGCAAGGTTAGGGGGTTTTCTTTCTCTAGGACCAGCAGGCTCAGTGGCCTTGTCCTTAAGATAATGGGGAGCAGGGAGAATGCCAGGGAGTTATCTGTATCTATTGGCAGAGGCACTTGTTCTTTCTAGTTTTCCATTCTTGCCATGAGTCCCGTCTCTTTTAGTTATAATTTAATTTTCTTTGTGGACAGGATGACCCATAACAATTCCCAGACTGTTGTTGAGAATAACAACATTCCTCAGAAACTAGGTGGTTATGAATAATAATAATAATTTCCAGAAACCAGTCATTGTGACCAAGCTATTTCATGTGTTTTTTTTTTCCCCCTGAGCCTTGCATGCAGCTAGGGTGACTTTTAAATACACGCTGGTGGATATTTTTAATTCTAACTTTTAGTGGTCATTAGAGAGTTAGGCTGCATTTTCACCCGTTCAGCTGGAGCGATGCCCCGACAAACAGCCTAAGCATTGGGGTGAGGAGAGTAAGGAATGTCTGGATGCCCACTAGTTCTGACTGCCTTCCAGAAGTCACGGCCTCCCCTTCACTTGTATTTTCCCAGTTCGGTAGTTCCCATCATGCAGTAAGCTGATGTTGTGTGGACAGGAATTCTGTGGAATGTAGCTCTCACCTTGGAAGAGTTGGATCGTGATGGTGTGGAGTGAACCTGCCACCGATTCCTTAAGCCAGGACTCTTACGTGTCCCTCTGTCCCCCTTGATCTCTAGTAGACACTAATACATAGGTGCCTCTGCTACTTCTTAACAACTGTGGAGGGTTTATGTCTGGTGCTTTTTTATGGAGTTAGTCATCTTAGGTTGCAACTGTAGCCATCAGATCTTTTTAAATGAGTTACTGAAAATGCACACCAGACTTTGCCTGCCTCTTCAGCTCTAACTGCGAGATGGATTCACTCTTTAAACATTGCCCTCTCGAATACAGCTCCAGATTGTTGGAGCTATCAATAACTATTGTCAGGTTTGGTAAGTAAATCTATAAAGACTGCATGAATAATTATTCTAATGACTCACAAACCTCAATATTTGCATTAGCTGAATACTTTGAGGCCAGAGTCCACAGGGAGATTGCAGAATAAAAAAATGGTTTTTGAGTTGAATAGATGGCATCTTGATGTGACACTTCACCTGCTGATTTGCTGCTACTAAGACAATGCTAGTCTGTTCATGGTTAAAACTATCTGTAAATAATGATTCTATGTGTTTTTGTGGTGCTCAATATTGAGCCCAAGGCCTTTTGTGGGCTGTACCTCCTTTACTCACTCTTGTGCAGAATTTTAAAAAGCTTCAAAACTGGGTGGTGGTGGAGCACACCTTTAATCCCAGCACTTGGAAGGCAGAGACAGGTGGATCTCTGTGAGTTCGAGACCAGCCTGGTCTATAGAGCGAGTTCCGGGACAGCCTCCAAAGCTACAGAGAAACCCGTGTCTTGACCCTTCCCCCCCCAAAAAAAGCTTTAAAACATTGGTTTCGTTAGTGTATGTGTGTGTGAGTGTAAGTGAGTACATGCTGTGTGTGTGTGGGCGGGGTGTCAGGACAATTTGCAGGAGTTGTATTCCCCTCCCGCCCCACCCCCACCCCCTGTGGCTTCCAGGCATCAGGCTTTGCCAGGCTTCCACTGAGTACCTTCACTGTAGTCTTCACTGGCTCCAGATGATTGATATATGTATATATGTATAATATGTATATATACATACACACATACATACATACATACATACATAATCTCATTTGAAAATCTTCCATGAGTAGATGATGGATAATTAAAACCTAACTCTGTAATGTATTGACAAATGTGTATGTGTGTATTGCTAATGATTGTCCATTCCTTCCCAAATTACTACATTACAAAACCTGGGAAAATTGTGTGTGTGTGTGTGTGTGTGTGTGTGTGTGTGTGTTTAAAATTCTGAGTACCTGAGAAAATTATCTGGATCACAGAACAGTAGAATATGTGAATACTATCCTCATTTAGCAAAGTATTTTTCCATTTACCAGAAAGATGTATATGTATTTTGATGACTGGATGTACACAGTCAAAATCTGTGAACCGAATGAGTTCTTATTGCTAATAATTGTATGAATGACTCAAATACACATGGATTCTTTGTTTATTTCTTGCTCTCTGGCTAGTAACTCTTTGGATTATATTAGTTTTATGTTATGAAATTATGTATCAGCAGCTCAGTATTTTTTCATGTTAGGTCTCATTATATCAAAGTTGGCATGTGAGGATGATGTGTAGTTATAGTATCTGCCAGTAGATGGATGACTATAATTTGTTGCCTAAAACATTTTTCCCATCTCTGCCAAGCTGATGTCAAATAGCAGGCTGTTGGTGAGTTCAGAATCACTCTGAACACAGGCTGCACACAGCACATTTGTTTTGTTTTTTAAGGCAGGGTTTCTCTGTATAACCCTGGCTGTCCTGGTCTTGGAACTCACCCTACAGACCAGGCTGGCTTCAAACTCACAGAAAGCCATCTGTCTCTCTCTGCCTCCCAAGAGCTAGAAGGTGTGTTTGTGCTTTAAGATTGGGTTTTGTTTAAATATAGCAGATAACGGAGTGAGTGGAGTGATGCTGATATCCTCCTTGACAGGTAAATGTTGGGAAGATGGACTCACCCATTGAAAAGTGGAATCTGATCATTGGCAACTTGGCTTTGAAGCAGGTGAGTGACACATTTACTTATAGATCTGGGTGTGAAATTTACCGTTTCTTTCATGAGACACCAAAGCAGTAAGTTAGTACCCTGAAAAGCTGATGGAAGCAGTTGATGCCCATGGCCTTCATCTGGTCTCTGCTAACTCTTAGGTAAATGATTTCAGTTGTCATGAGTGACTCTTCAGCTAGTGTGATCATCAGGATTATGTACTAATTTTAACGTTAGCTCAGCTATGCCATAAAGTTTTGAACATGGTTTGTGGGAATATAACTTCATGCATTGCATTTCAAAGACAAAAGAGTTCTGAAATAAAGGCCTTTTTTTCTATCTATGCAGTTGCTTCCAAGTTTGTAAGATTAGAACTAAGAAAATCTGAGACCTAACCTTGCCTCTAATGTAAGCCAGCTGTAGAGCTTTATTAATTTACATAATCATCTGGGTTTCAGTTTTGTCTTTTTCAGTCCTGGTTATTTTGTTAGAAAAGCCTAAGAACCTTTCAGCTTGACTATGTAGGGACGGTAGAAACATTGACTAACAGGGCTAGGTAGGGATGTATATCATTGTATATCAGTATGTCAAACACGCAAGAACTTTGTTCCCAGTAACAACAACAAAATAAAACCAAGACCTTCCGAACATTTATCAATCAGCAAAGCACTGTAACAAATCAAGAAATTAAAAATGTACTTATACTTGCACACTGAATGCCCTGAAGCTGTGGCTGTGTCATGAGTGATCTATACAGGTCCCTGTCAGTCCCCATCTCAGCCTGTCTTCCCCTGAGCGCCACCTCCTCTTGCCTGCAACAGTTGGTTAGGATGGCCGCCAGAGATGGCCAGGAATATGCTGATCCTAGTTGCCAAAATTTAAAGTCTCTTTGGCTTTCTCCCTCCAAGGATATGTGATGAACAAGGAACTTGGGAAGATCTATCGTGGCGTAACAGTACCCACCAGTGAGGCAGTGGTTGGTGGAGGTGGTTTCCACAGACCAAAGGAAGAGGAGAAGATGGCAGCTGTGGGTTGGGTTAGGGAAAAGGTTATTTTCCCCCTGGAGTGCCACAAGCAAGGCTGTGAAGCAGAAGATGAATGTGGCATGCTTGTTACGGGCAGACCTGGAGGGCCTGGAGAGATGGCTCAGCAGTTAGAGCATGTGCTGTTCTTCCGGAGGCCTGGGGTAAAGTTCCCAGCACTCATGTCAAACCATCTGTGACTTCTGCTCCGGGGGAATCATCTCTCAGCATTAGGGGCAGAGGCTGGGGGTGTCTCTGAGTTTGAGGTCAGCCTGGCCAACAGAGTAGTTCCAGGACATCCAGGGCTCCACAGTGAGGCTCTTGTCTCAACAGCACAGCAGACGAAAATGATGCGGTCCCTCATTCTACCATACCCGTTGATGTAGGTCCGGGCAGTTTGAGAGCCCACAGTCCTAAGCGGTCTTAAAATGGAAATCCAGTGGCTTCTTTAAAATGGAGGCAGTTCAGTTACCTCACACAGCACTTGTTTGGACTGTCTTGTATGTTATGGTGGACTGATGAAAATCTAATGTTTTCAGGTCCAGGCCACAGTGGTTGGCTTCTTAGCAGCTGTGGCAGCCATCATATTGGGCTGGATTCCAGAAGGGAAATATTACCTCAGCCACTCCGTGCTTCTGTGCTCCAGTAGTGTGGCGACTGCATTCATCGCCTCTCTTCTGCAGGGTAAGTGAATCTGTAAATGTCTGCTTGGGAGTGTCTGACTCTTTAGTAAAAAGGTCGATTTCCCTGGTTGGTGAGTTTGAAAATGATATCTATCATGATGAAAATGGCAGAAAATGTCCAGATGTATTTTTATTTACTGTTTGTTTGTTTGGTTGTTTTTTAAGACCGGTTTTTTTTTGTTTTTTTTTTTTTTTTTTTTGTAGCTCTGGCTTTCCTGGAAATAGCTCTGTAGACCAGGCTGACCTCAAACTCATACAGATCCACCTGCCATTGTCTCCCAAGTTTTGGGGTCAAAGGCGTGCGCCACCATCTGGCTTATTTCATTATTTATAAACACCATGGAAAATGGGCTTTTTGAGGCTGTTCCCCTGGCCATAGAAGCCTTGGCTCAGTCTTCAGTAAGGGCAGCGCACTAGCCAAGAACTCACTGTTTTCCCCAAGTCAAAGGAGTTAAGAAAGAAAGGCCTTCCTGGAAGCCACACAGGGGACTTTCTGGCTTGTCCCAAACAAGCATTCCAGGGATTCTCAGTTTCAAAAGTCATTCCTGCACTCCCAGAGGACCTTAGCTCAGTTCCCAGAACCCACTTGAGGCGGCTCACGATTGCCCAGGGTGAAGAATGAAGCCAACACCAAGGGCCCCTGCACTCACGTGTGTACTCTTTGTCACACAGGCATGCAAGTATACACATAAGAAACAAACAAACAAACCCCCCGACTTTCAAGTTTCTGTGACAATATAAATATAACATTGTGCCACTGCTGGACATGGCCTCGGACTCAGCAGTTCTCCTGCCTCTGTCTCCTGGGTGCTGGCATTAAAAGTGGGCACCACCTGCTGGCCACATCCCTCTCTATTCTTTTCAAGAGTTAGTTATTTTTATTTTATACGTAGGAACGTTTTGCCTTTACGTATGTATGTCCAGCATATGCATGCCTGTGCTCTTGGAGTCTAGAAGAAGGTGTATCCCCAGAAACTTGAGTTACACGTGGTTGTAAATCACCCCGTGGGTACAACAGCTGCCAGTGTGCACCCACCACTGAGCCAGCCAGCTCTCAAAGGGCATCATTTGTAGACATATTCTTGCCATTTCCCTTCGTATTTTCTTAATGTTTTGGCATTTATTTTATTTGATGTATATGAGTGTCTATTGTGCACCCACCACTGAGCCAGCCAGCTCTCAAAGGGCATCATTTGTAGACATATTCTTGCCATTTCCCTTCGTATTTTCTTAATGTTTTGGCATTTATTTTATTTGATGTATATGAGTGTCTATTTTGCTTGCATGTCTGTGTACCAACAGTGTTGGGTGGGTGTTGAGAATTGAACCCAGGTCCCCTGCAAGAAACAGGTGCTTTTAATCTCTGAACACATCATCTCCCAAGAGTAAATTTTATAAGTGTCTCCGGTTCTGAACTCTGGTTTTCAAAATGTAATTACACCCTGCTTCCTAACACTTCACTGTAGACAATGAGATGAAGCATCTTTAGTTACCATATATGAGTGTGTTTGTTTTGTTGCTAATGCATATGAATAGGACACCTCTTTTTACCCTTTCTTTTCAAGGATTAAAATGAAAATCTGTGGTTTGATATATATGTATTACATTTAAAGCATATGCCTCATTAAATTCAAAATTTTAGTTTTACTGTAATTTTACAGTAAATGCGGCATTGAGCCAATGATAACCCATGTGATCTCTTGCAGTTTGCTGAAGGGCATTTTGCCAAAGGGGTTGCAGTAAAATATTTTGTTTGCGTAATTGGTTCATTTGAGCATTCTAACCAGAACTGTCCCTGCTGTGTGTTTCAGTGTCTGGGGAATGGAGTTTTCTGAGTCAGCGTCTAAAGTAACAAGCATTCTTTCTCCTAGGAATAATAATGGTTGGTGTTATCGTTGGCTCCAAGAAGACAGGCATAAACCCGGACAACGTGGCCACGCCCATTGCTGCTAGTTTTGGTGATCTGATAACTCTCGCCATATTAGCGTGGATAAGTCAGGGTTTGTACTCCTGTCTTGGTAAGTTGACTTGAAAGTAGACATGGCATTATTTAGTCTTCAGAGTCAGTGTCGTAAAATGTCGTGAGTCCATGGTCACCTTCATCTGTAAGAAGCATCTGTAAAATAGACTGCAACAGACTCTAACTCGTACACTTATTAGGTATTGTTCTCATATGTCCTTTTCTTTTACTGAGTTCAGAACTCAGAGAAAATGTTTATCATCCTATGTAAATTATTTCTTTCTCTTCTGCCACACCCTGCTTTTCTTTCTTGAGGCAGCTGTGTTCATGTAGTCCCAGGCTGTCCGCAAACCTGCTACGTGGACAAAGCTCACCTTAAACTCCTTGTCTTCCTATTTCTGCCTCCTAATTCCACCTCCCAAGTATTTGTTTACAGGTGTGTGCTATACAACCCCTAGGTACCCTTTGAAATTTCAGACAAGAAGATGGAGGGTCGCAGGACTTACATAAGTTCCCCAGCTATTGGAGTTCAACGCAAACCTGTTGTACTCCATGGTTTTTGCATTCTTCCTGTTGGATAGCCAGTTAGGAATCACCCTCACTGTTTTGAACATGAGAATACAGGGTTTTCATGATTTTTTTTATTTTTTCAAATTTACCAATGAGTGAAATTAAAGTCATCTTATATACACATTCCTGATGAGTAGTGATGGGAAATGTGTAGAATCCAGTGAATTGTCTTAACTGGAATGTGTGTTCTGGGATCACAGTTAGTTGTAGTGAATCTGATTTGTGAGCAAGAGTTAAAGGCAGAATATTAGTTGTGCTTTCATTTCCATGTCGTGTGTGTGTGTGTGTGTGTGTGTGTGTGTGTGTGTGTGTGTACATGCATGTACCAAATGTGCAGTTAAAAAAACACAACTTTACCACGATAAAATTATTTACAATCCCAAAGCAAACATTCATTTACAAATTGCCATGGGTTCTATACAGCTTTATGGTATAATTTTGAATACATCTAAAGTATACATAAAGTTTGAAGAGGAACTTCAGTTGTGTTTTTGAACCAAAGAAACTATCAAACACAATAAACTGTGTATGGCTTTGCTTTGGCAGTAGCATGGGAAGCTTCATTCACTACCTTAACCTTGATTTGATGGGTGTACCGTTAAACTCACTGGGAAACTCACAGGCAGACAGCTGGGCAACTTATCCTTACCCTGGGGTCCAGGTTGTTCATTGTACTGGAGAAGGGAGGTTGTCTAGCGAGGCATGGGGATGCACACTCATAATATCAGCACTTAGGTAGCCGGGGGAGGCTCACTGAGACTTTGGAGCTGTCTCTTGAGACAGCATATGAGATCCTGTCTCAAGACCGTCATCAGTAGGAAGCCTTAGCAAGGTTTTCAGTGCCCCTTTGACCAACCTTTGAAGTTCCAGAAGTTTCTCCTGCTTTGAGGAGGGGATAAGAGAAAAGGGACGCACGCACGCACGGTTTCTTCCCAGCACTATTGAGAGGATAGAAATGCCACAGATTAACGGGGCATGATGGTGCATGCCTGTAATACCAGCACCTACATGGCAGCTGTAACATGACACATGACATCACAACATCGAAACCATCTGTAATTCCACTCCTAGGTGATCTAGCCTCCTTGTGTACCAGGCGTGCACGTGGTATACAGATATACTTGCAGATCAAACACCTGCACAGGTAAAATAAATAAGACATGGTCGCAGGGTGTTGTCCCCTAAAGTTTTCAATATTTCAAGTGTTATGCGGTGCCACCTTCCACATTAAGGTTGGGTCTTGATGGAATCTCAATGAGTATCTGAGGCTAGCTCCCCAATTTATTCTTCAACTTCCAGGGCACTAGGGTTATAGGCGTGAACAGCGCCTCCCACATTACTTTGTGTTTGTTTTGTTTTGTGGAGACCTTGCACTGTGGTGCGCTGATGCATTAACTGGAGTGAGAAGTAAGAGAAAATGCAGTTGCCATAATCTTAGAAAACACCATTGTTCAGTATTGTTTAGGATGCTCTAAGCCTTTGTCTTCCTCAAGTTGGCTTTGCATCGTCACAGACCCTTTTCATTTCATCTGTATAATTGATGCCCCTAAGGGATTTTCTTTTTAAATGCGCTATGGGTTAATTCTACACGTAATTTAACAGCTTTCAGGTATTCTGAAATGTCATTTTGTTGGATTGCCAAAGTGTCTGCCTCTCAAGCACTAGGGGGCCTCAGAAGATCAGCAGTTAGGTGCCTGGCATTTCCATTCTGAATACGAAGATTAGAAGTAGGTACATTTAAATTCTCAGATGCCGTTCATCTTGCTGAGAAGCTTGGTCCTTGGACACAGCGGTATTTTCTGTACTACACTGGAGACACTCAGCAGTGTGCAGGGAAGAAAGGAGAGAAAGGAGGACCTTTTTGGTAGTCGTAAAGCTTTGGCTATAGAGGCTACACGTTCAAAGAATTGGACACAGGAAAAATTCCACAGGCTCAGCTCGTGGAGAGAGGGCACAACAGTTGTAAATACATATGTGCCCAATGTCGGTGCTCTTAAATGCAGGAACGTTATTGACAGTTTGGAAGAGAAGTAGAGGACAATACAAACACCTCACTTTTGACAACGGGTAGGTCATCTGGAAGTGCCGTGAAGAGCTGGATTTGAAGTGGGCACTACCACAGGAGGCTGACTACCTACAAAACGTCCCGTGAACAGCGGAGTGATGTAATTCTTGTGTGCACAGATCGTGTTCTAGAGCAGACCCCATACTAAGCCATTAACAAATCTTAACACATTTGGGAATCATGTTATATCTTTTGTCACCATGATGGAATGAAACTAGAAAGCAGTGGGGAAAAAATATAAATATAGACAAAGTCAGCAGTACAGCTGAAACAGACAATTCTAAAACTACACAGCTGGAAACTGAAAATACAGCAAACTAACCCAAGGTCTGCAGAAGGCGTGAATAAGGGCATGACTGTAATTAAACCAAGCAGGAAAGCTATGGAACAAACCAACAAAATGAAGGGTTGGTTTTCCTTAAAGTGAAAAAAAAAATGGCAATATCTTCCCTTAGACTATGAAGAAAAAAGACTATAAATAAGACCAGAAAGGAAAGCACAGGCATTGTAGTCGGTACTCTAGAATGGAAAGGGTCAAAAGCCCAGCCTCTGGGGGAATGAGTGGATACCTTCCTATAAATAAAAAAACCCACTGAGATTGAGTCAGGAAGATACAGAAGACCTGATGAGTCAAGTAGCAAGTAGGCTGGAGTAGTGATTAAAAAGTTTGCATGCATGGGAAGCTGGTCTCTGCTAGAGCAGACCTTATCTCAACAACCCGAATACACACACAAACAAATGCTGAAAAATTTAAAGCCCCAGGAAACAAATGCTCCCAAGAAGCATTCTGACAGAACATCCACACTCATTTTATGAGGCCAGCACCTCAGCCTGATAGCAAGGCCAGGGAGATACCTCAAGGAAACCATCGGCAGCGGCTGTGCTGGACAGAGCTGATGCAGCCTCAGAAAAACACGAGCAAACAGGTAAAAGTACATCTGTGAAAACATGGCCTCTGTGAAGATGCAGAGCAAGAGCGCCCGCTCTCACTTCTGTTCAGCACACACTACAAGTACTAACAGCAGTTAGACATGAAAAGGGATAAAAGGCTTCCGACTTGAAAAGGAAGAGTTAGTTATCCCAATCTGTAGATGACACGGTGGTGCGCGCGTATGTTTAAAAAAAATCAGGATTCCACAATAGGGTTTTAAAACGAATGAAAAGGTTTCAGAAGAATGCCAATCAGGAATACAAAACTCAGTTGCACTTCTTTGTGACAATAAAGACTTATCTGAGCTAGAGATTGTGGTGTGAGCCTATAGTCCCAATGTTGAGAAAGCTGAGCCAAGAGGATCTTGAGTTCAAATCCAGCCTGGTTACATGGCAAGCTCTAGGCCAACCTTGTTTCATTATGAAACACTGTCAGTAAATACACAGATCCATCCATCATACATACATACATACATACATATGTCTACCTGTGCTTGTCTGAATTTGTTATAGCACTATATACACTGAGGTGGCTTTTATGACTTTATGTTTGGCCAGTGACTATAACTTTTTATCTAAATACAGTCTTCCTCTCTCCTTTAAAAAACCTATTTAGTTCATAGCAGGAAGTAATTAGAGTACTGTGTGTGGCTGTACCTTTTGTTTTGAAATACAAACTTATTGACAATATTGTGTTTTATAATTTATTTTTTTTGTAGTACCCTTGGTGCTGAATACATAATAGGTGTTGAGTAAACACTGTTTTACAAAGTACATTATGCCTTTTGAAAACGATTTAGTTAATATGTTTAGAACTTAACTCAAGCGACCCTCTAACGACTTTGGCATGGTGACTGCCCAAGAATGATTGACTCTAACAAAAGCTTCCTTTGCACGAGGCCTCAGGATTAGTGACACAGTGTAGAGTAACTTGGCTCAGTACAGAGTTCTGGGGATTAGTGACACTTTGGAAAATGGAAAGAAGACATGGCAAGAAAGGAAGAGATGAACTATGGTAATGTGAGCTCCGGCTTGTGTGGTTATGATGTGTTTAGTGTGGTTTGCAGGGGAAATGCAAAGGCTGTGCCCGTTTGTAGGGCAATTGCTCCATATGCAAGAATCTTTAAGAGCTGTCAGATTCCATCACTGAGCCAGCAGCTGAAACTTCTCAACACAACCGTTGCTGGCTGTTTCTTTGTTCTTGTCTTCAGATTTCTTTTTTCAAAGCAGACTTGGAGCTTATCAAGAGAAGGTTTTCACACAGGCTTGAGCTTTGGCTTTGTGGAGAGAAAGCATGTAGGAAAAGGTCAACATCTTCCTAAGGCGTAGGTGTGGGCTTCTCAAGAGACTTGCACCCGGGCGTCCTTAACAGTGGTCTCATGTAGATGTTTGGCTTCTAGAGTGTAAAGCTTTCTAAGGAACTCCATTTTCTTTTAGTAAGTGAGACCATAAGGTGAGGCACCTTCCCGGGGACTGTGGAATGGGAATACAGG